AGCTCACTATGTAGCTCAAAGGGCACCTTGAAAGGGCAGCTATCCTCCTGCCTCAGCCTCGCGAGTGTTGGGATTACAGGCGTGCGCCACGCCCATCTTCCCCGCCTTTGAAATGCCTGGAAAGGAAATGCCTGCAGTATGAGGAACAAGGCAGATAGTGAATGGTAGGCTGCGTTAAAAGACAACAGAAACAAGATGAAATCCAACACTTTAATCTTGATATAAATTATGATTACAAACTTTTTTCTGTTTGGAGACAAGGTCTCACTATGTATCCCAGGCTGGCCTTGAACTCACAGTGACCCTCCTGCCTCAGCCTCCCGAGTGCTGGGATGGCAGGCGTGCACCACCATGCCTGGCGATTACATTCTTTCCAGAAAGTATCTAAAATAGTGCACTGTACATCGTATAAAAACAGGTATCTGAGAAGACTGAGACAAACTAAATAAGGCACAAGGTTTATTCACATTCATATTTACAACACTCTGTATCACTTTTGTGTTCCACGGTCTTCCTTCACATTTTCTGATGTTTGGCATAAACACAACACCTCTCCCTAACCCAGTCGCAGGACTAAATAAATACTACAGAAAGAGCTCAGCGTGCGTGGAGGACTGATCTTCCATGTACTCCAGGACAGCAGAAGAACCAGGAGCTCCTGAGGAAGAGCTAACAACCGCTAGTAATCCACCAGAGCAGGGGCGGTTCAAATCCCACGGCAGAAAACTCCAAGGAATCTGGAGGCGCAGTCAGTCCGGCAAGAGGCTCCTATGTCGCGTCACTGTCGTACTCTTCTATGATCACGTCGCTGTCATCCTCCAAGTCTAGCTGCGAGGCGAAAGGCTGGGGCTGGCTGGCCGGGAGCTCGCTCTCATTGCTCTGACTCAGGGGCGGAGACCATGTTTCCTGGGGGAGGGCCGGGGGCGGCTCCCTCTGTGCATCCCCAAGCCCGGCAGGCAGTGCTCCGTTGGGCAGGGCCTCATCTCCGCTGTCAGGGTCCATGGGCGCCAGCTCCCTGTCAGCCAGGGCCTCCATCTTCCACCTGTCAGATTCACAGGGCAGACCTCAGTCATGATCAAAGCAGGTGATTTGGTGAGACAGTGTCAGGAGCCAGGCACTGCAGCCCACGCCTGGAATCCCAGCACTCTGTCAGGCAGAGGCGGGAGGATACAAGTTTGAACCCTGCCTGGTCAACCGGTCACTTAGCAACTTGGCAAGACCCTATAAAAAGAGGCTGGAGATACACCTTGGTGCAAAAGTCCCAGCCTCACTCCCCAGCAAGAGGGGAGCATCATTCTAGTTTGCTCTTTCATTTGTAACCAAAAAAAAAGTAGGCACAAATCTCAGAAAAAACTTAGAAAATATAAGTATCACTAAAATTGTTCAATCTAAATTGTAACTTTAAGACGGGCATGGTGGCACACGCCTGTAATCCCAGCACTAGGGAGGCTGAGGCAGGAGGATCGTTGGGAGTTCGAGACCAGCCTGGGTTACAAAGTGAGCTCAAGGCCAGCCTGAGCTGCAAAGTGAGACCTTGTCTCAGAAAGAAAAAAAAAAAAAAAAAAAAAAATTATAACTTTAAAGTAGAAATGAAAATATAGTAATGAACTTCTATTGTCATCTTCTAAACTGGTAAAGATACTTTTTTGTTTTTTTGAGACAGGGTCTCACTATGCAGTTCAGGCTGGCCTTGAACTATGTGTAGCTGCCTCAGCCACCTGAGTGCTAGGTTTACACATATGCCCTATCACATCTAGCAAGAGACTTTCAAAAGTGATCAGCTGGACGTGGTGGTACACACCTGTAATCCCAGCACTCAGGAGGCTGGGGCAGGAGGATCGAGAGTTCAAGGTCAGCCTGGACTACAAAGTGAGTTCAAAACTAGCCTGAACTGCATAGTGAGACCCTGTCTCAAAGAGACCAAAAAAAAAAAAAAAGTGACTTAAACCTACCTATGGCAAGAGTTAGAAGAAAAAAATGATACTGGTACAGTGTAAGTGGGTATAAAATTGCATATATTCTTGTAACCATTCTGGCATATGAAAGGAATATACCTGTGCGGCACTTTCATTTCTAGTTCATTCTTTCTGATTATTTCATATGCAGGATGGTTTATTTACAAGGCTATGATAATAGAATCTGAAAAGAAGCTAAATGTACAAAAATAAGGTATCGGTTGAATTACAAAAACTATGCAGCTATTAAAGATTAAGTTAACTGTTAATACTAAGTATTATCAGCTTAAATCAAAGACTGGGTTAAACATGACCAACATAAAGGTAACAGTACTAGTCACGCAGCACATCAACACTGGTAAGTCCTGCTACCCAGTAGATCAAGTAGTTGAACCAATAAATACAAGATTCCCACTCTTTTCCTTACATCTCTTTTTTTTAATAAGACAACTTACGTGGGGCCAGGGATATAGCTCAGTGGCACAAGTGCCTGCCTGGCAGGTGCAAGGTCCTGAGTTTGATTCCCAGTACCAAAAAAAAAAAAAAAAAAATCTGCACTTCTCAAACTTCTGTGAAGGTGGGGAAAGGGAGGAGGGAGAGGACAGCCAGCTACTCCAGGTGAGCAGGGAGCGTTCAAAAGTGAGTTTCCTCATATTTTAGGAACAAAAAGACAACAGAAAATACTTCTCCTCCTTTTGCTTTCACATCATCACCTCAGGGTGGAAAGAAGCCCCCAGAGATCTTGTCCTGCTCTGACTCAGAGGGATGTGAAGGGAAAAGCAAAGTTTATGAGGCTGAGGCCCAAGCACTCTGGTGGGACGATGCCTTGGGTCCGTCCCTCACTGTGCCGAAGCAACGGGGAAGATACTCTCCCTGGCTCAGCCGTCATCCACACAAAGCCATTAGTACCACCCAGCCTTACAGACTGTGAGTACAGAGGAGAAAAGAAGCCAGACAGGCAGAGTCTTCCACTTGGGACCAGGACAAGGAGAAAGTAAGGAGGTGCAACAGGCGTCACTTTGGTCACTTGCTTTTGTCCTTGCAACCAGTAAGCAGCTCCTTTTGAAAATTTTTTAAAATGCTGAGTAATTAATTCCAATCTAATAAATCAAACTCAAACAGAAATATTCTCAAAGTTAAGCAGGTTTTGTGTACATCACTGGCATTAGCACAGGGGCTACTTTCTAATAAAACGAACAGTAGAGATACTGGGTATCTATCTTTTGCTTTTTTTTTTTTCTTTTGAGACAGGGTCTCACAATGTAGTTCAGACTGGCCTGGAACTCACGATGTAGCCCAGGCTGGTCTCAAACTCAAGGCAATCCTCCTGCCTCAGCCTCCCAAGTGCTGGGATTACAGCCATGCACGACCATGTCCAGCTGTGGCACTTTTTTGAGGCAGTTCCTGGTCACTGCAGGTCTTCAACCATAGGTTAAGAAGACATCTTGGCAGGGAGGCTGAGAAGAGGTTTCTATATTAGCAAGATCCCTTGAACTAGACACTTCTAAAACATACTTTGGCTTTTTGATTCCATACTTCCGTTTAGTCTGATATATTCCACTGGGAAAAGGTGAATCCATACTTTCATATTTAATAAAAGACCCACAATGTAACTGCATGGTTTTGGATCCCTGGGTATAATATATATGTATCTGTAATTCACAGATAACATTTCTTTTTTTTCCTTTTTTTTTTGTGGTGCCAGAAATCGAACTCAGGACCTTGTGCTTGCCAGGCAGGTGCTACACTGCTGAGCCATATCCCCAGCCTCAGATAACATTTCTTGACTGCATACTGAGTACACTGAGTGGATTCGTGGACATTTCAGTAACAGTGCTCTGCAAATTAAAATGATCAGCTTACCTTCCAAAGTGTCGCTTCAAAGGAAGTCTTCCAATATCTTGGATAAAAGAAATCTGAGCTGAAAACAGATATTTTTGAGATGATTTTAATACCATTACCCTTTGTATTTATTCTTTTTTCGTGTTGGTAGTACTGAAGCTTGAACCCAGGAGCTCTCTACCGCAGAGCTGTATTGTGAGCCCTTTTTAGTTTTAGTTCTGAGATGTTCTCAATACATTGCACAGGCTAGCCTCAGGTTATTCATTCATTCATTTGGCCTCAATTCATTCATTTATTGGTACTGGGGATTGAACCTAGGGTCACTGCACTGAGCTATATCCTAGCCCTTTACTCTTTCTTTTAGTCTTGCTAAATTGCCCAGGCCGGGCTCAAACTTGTGATCCTCCTGCTCAGTCTCCCAGAGTGCTTGGATTACAGGCATGTGACACCATACCCGGCTATTGTTTTCTTGAGGCAGGGTCTTTTTTAAAATCTTTTTGAGACAGGGTCTCAATATGCAGTTCAGGCTGGCCTTGAGCTCACTTGATAGCCTCGGCTGGTCTCAAACTCACAATGATCCTCCTGCCTCAGCCTCCTGAGTGCTGGGATTACAGGCATGCATCAAGCCCGGCGAGGCAGGGTCTTGTTATGTAGTCCAGGCCAGCCCCAAACTCACCACGTAGCCCAGGCTGACCTTGAACTTGGTGATCCTCTTGTCTCAGTCTCCCAAGTGCTGGGATTACAGGTATGCGCCACTATGCCTAGTTTCTTTTATTTTTTAATTGGTAAGTAAAAATCACACGTATTTATGATATATAACATGGGATGCTCATATATGCATCCACTGTTGAACAGCTAAATCAAGCTACCTGAAATATGTACTATGTCAAATACTTATTTTTTTTGTATGAACACTTAAAATCTACTTTTAGCAACCTTCTAATATACATTATTAACTGTTTTGTCTTTTGGGGTTTTTTGTTTGTTTTGTTTTGCAGCACTGGGCATGGGACCTCAAGCCTTCACAAGGAGCTACATTCTTAGCCCTTTTTATTTTGAGACAGGGTCTTGCTAAATTTTAAATGCCTAGGCTGAGCTTGAATTTGCAACCCTGCTGCTTTAGTCTGAAGAGTGCTGGGATTACAGGCCTGCACCAACATGCCTGGCTACATTCTACTTTTTCTTTTTCTTTTTTTTTTTTTTTTTAAATTTTTTGTTTTTTTGAGACAGGATCTTGTTATGTAATTCAGACTGGGCTTGAACTCAGTATGTAGCCCAGGCTGGCCTCAAACTTGTAGCAATCCTCCTGACTCAACCTCCTGAATGCTGCAATTACAAACATGCGCCACCACGCCTAGATAGACAAAAACTTTTTAAACTTTTTAGCCTCAAGCTTTTTTTTTCTTTTCCTTTGGCAGTGCTGGGGATAGAATACAGGGCCTTGTGGATGCTAGGCATTCTTCTACCACTGGGCCACACCCCAACTGTATAAGCCATTTTAAAGTTTACAAATAGAACAGTATGAGACTCTTACATCCACTACACAATATAACTGGAATTAAAAAAAAAAAACCAAAAAATAGCTCTTTGATATGTAAAGCTTAGAGGTGGGATCTTAGAATCTGATTTTTTTTAATTTCTTTTTTGAGACAGGGTCTCCCTATGCTCCAACTCTCAAGGATCCTCCTGCCTCAGCCTCCTGAGTGCTGGGATTACAGGTGTGCGCCACCACGCCCGGCTCAGAATCTGATTTTTATCCTTGTGGTGGAGACTGAGTCTAAGGCCTTGCACATGCTACCCAAGTCCTCCACCACTAAGTTAAACGCCCAACCCTCACAATCTTTAATGAATAGATAAAATGATTATCCAGATGATTCCAATGTAAATAACTTAATCCAGTACTTCTCAAATGCATGCCAATCACCAGAAGAATTCTATTACAAAGCAGACTTATCTGGTAGTTGGGGCTGAGAGTCTGCCTTTCCCCCAAGCTCCAAGCAGCGCTGCTGCCTCAGCCTAGAACACTCCTGCTCAGGAAACTGAGCCTGGATCCCATAGCAGGACTCAGGGGGACGGTGCCCAGCTGCACTGAGGGACTATGGCAAGGTAAAAAGGAATATTGTCAGAGAAACTGAGCAAGTACTAAGTACACTCAGGAAAATGAAACAAATGATTTTTATTACCCAAAAAGGGAGGGATAGGCACAGAAAGAAAAAAAAAAAAGAGGCACAAATATGAAAAGAAAAAGGGTTAGAATAAACTCTCTGGTGTTTGTAATTGAATGTATTGGTATGAACTCACAGTTTCTGTTGTTTTATTTCTATTTTCAAGATGATTACACTATGTAGCCACCAACTTGTAGCGATCCTCCTGCCTCAGCTTCCTAAGTGCTCGGATCACAGTCCTGAAAGATCACAGGCCCAAGGCACCACCTCTGGTAATAAACTCATGTTTTATATATAGCCATACTGTAGTTGTTAGTTAGCCTAGCAACAATGATACTCTGACTACGTCTAGTGCCCAGATTCTGCTTCCTAAATGCCATTCCCACCAAGGGGATCTAGGGCTCCCAGAAATTCCAGACCTCAGAACTGGCACAGGAAGATTATGAAATCAACTGGGAACATTCTGTTTTGGAAGGTAAGAAAGTATTCTAAGGGTACTGGGGACACATCAAATGGGACAGAGTTAGCTTAAAGTGACACTTGCTAGTCCAATCCGGACAGTGTCACATCAAAATAAATACTTTTTTTTTGGTCTTTTTCAGACAGGGGCTCGCTATGCAGTTCAGACTAGCCTTGAGCTCGCTTTGTAGCCCAGGCTGGTCTTGAACTTGCAACAATCCTCCTGCCTCAGCCTCCCAAGTGCTGCGATTATAGGTGTGTGCCATCACACCTGGCTTTTTTGTCTTTTTGAGACAGGGTCTCAATATGCAGTTCAGGCTGGCCTTGAGTTCACTTTGTGGCGCAGGATGGTCTCAAACTCCCAAAGATCCTCCTGCCTCAGTCTCCTGAGTGCTGGATTACAGGCCCACACTACTATGTCCAATATATCAAAATAAATAATGGTAACAAGGAATTACAATTGAACACCTAAGAACCAGCATCCATATAAACACATGCAAATAATCAAATGAATAAATACATGCGGGGGCCAGGCATGGTGGTGCAGGCCTATAATCCCAGCATTTTAGAAGCTGAGGCAGGAAGACTACCATGAGTTCAAGGCCGTTTGGGCTTTATAGTGAGTTCAAGGTTAGTCTGAACTACATGGTGAGATCCTGTTTCCAAAAAAATAAATAAATAAAAATTAATACTCCTAGAAGTTCTGGGATATAACATTGGGTTAAAAAAACTCATCCCATACTTTTCTACTGTCAATTTGTACTTTAGTATAATAGTAGCTGGCTGTAGGGCTCAGTAGCTGCACGTCGGGGATATAGGAAGCAATCTTTGTGTTTGCCTATTTGGTATGATGAATGGAAAGATGTGTGCACGAGTGCAAAAATATCAAACTGGGATTTTTACCCACGTTTATGCTCCATCTAACAGGTTTTGCATATGCTTACCTGAGCATCATGGGGGGTAAAATACACCCACACCATTCTTTTGCTATGTAGACATGTACTTTACCATAATGGAATATGGATTTATTTTGATTTTTCTGGTAGAAGTAACCCAATTCAGTACAAAGGCACATAAAAAACCAGATTTGCAAGTTTTGGAGGAGGCTGAAAGTGAATCATCAGATTATTCATGCATGGATGATGATGATAATAATGGCTTTGATGTTGGCCATGTGAGCCAAAGTTCCTGTGACAGAAACGGAGCAGGAATTGACCAATACAGACACAGGGAATGTGGACTTCCTTGACTCAGATGGTGAGGAAAATAGCAACGTGAGTATGTATTTGACTAGTAGAAATGGCACAAAATGGTCATGCCATCAAATGGAAGGATCCAGTGTTAGAAGTAGATCTGAAAATACAGTGAGTATCTTGGCATGGGTGAAACCTACTGGTCTTAATGCCAGCACTGCCATTCAGTGTTGAAAACTACTTGTAACAGATGAAATGCTTCAAGATACTGTGAAATACACAAATGATGAAATACAAGTAAAATGTTCTTTATGTACCCATAGCCATACTCTAAAATGTATGTATGTATGTATGTATTTATACACCTCACTAACTGAACTGAAAACATTCACAGGTCTGCTCTACTTGGCAGGGCTTTCTCATGGTCATTACAGGAATATAAAAAACTTCTGAAAAAGCAACAGTGTGGGCTTGAGGATTTGTAGTATAATGATGACATTGAGGAGATCTGGTTTCCTTCAAAATTGCCTGAGGTTTGATGACAAAACCACCCACCGTGAAAGAAAAAGAACTGATTATCTGGCTGCTATCTGCTAATGGCTTGAGAGATTTCTATATAACTGTCAAACAATTTACATACCGTCTCAATGCATGACTACTGACAAGCACCTTGCAGCATTTCATGGTTGCTGTAGCTTCAGACAGTATATTCCCCCAAAACCAAAATATGGCATAAAAATTTATGCCGTTGTGGATGCAAAGACTTATTATGCTTTCAAATTAGAAATTTATCCTGGGCTGGGTGTGTGGCACATGCCTGTAATCCCAGCACTCGGGAGGCTGAGGCAAGAGGATCATTATGAGTTTGAGACCAGCCTGGGCGATAAAGTGAGCCCAAGGCCAGCCTGAACTGCAGAGCGAGACCCTGTCTCAAAACGACAAAAGAAAAAAAGAAAAAAAAGAAATTTATCCTGAAACCCAGCCACCAGGTCCTTATTCATAAAAATAAACCAAATGATTTTGTGCATGGACTTGTTGCTCCCATCTCCCAAACTAATCAGAATGCAACATTTGACAATTTGTTTACCAGTCTCCAACTGATGTTACCTTAGGTAAAAATGCGTAAGTTGATTCAACTAGGAACTTTACCAGGAATAAAGCAGAAATTCCAAATGTAATGTTGCAGGGCTGGGGATACAGTTCAGAGGCACAGCACCTGTCTGGCAAGTGAGAAGCCCTGAGTTCAATTTCCGGTACAAAAA